AACCTTTTAGAGCTTTGCACCCCACTTCTAAGCTCAAGGTAACTCTAATATTTACCTGTCGTCATTTCCACTTCGGTAGCCAAGGAAGATGAACCCAGCACACTCGGTCCATTGACCTTGCCCGCTTGTTATGACGCGATGGAATCGCCAAGGTTAGTAGCGTAATAGTTATCATAATAACAATCACTTTTGCTGAGTTAGCAGGGTCTAAGCCTGATAAAGGAGGATGGTTATGATAGGCGTGAACGAGTCAACGTTAAATCTAGCCATAGATGAAATCCGAAAGAAAACCGTTGGGGCGTAACCTTCTTAGCGACGCACCATATTGGAACCCGGGTATGGTGTTAAATGAGCAAGGGCCGGGTCGTCACCCCCGTGACGCGCCGTGTCGCGATCTGGGCACGGTGTCAAGTGAGTAAGGATCGGGTTGTCGCATCCTTAGTGGCGTGCTACATCGGCACCCGGGTGTAGTGAAAAATGAGCAAGGGTCTTCACATCTGAGTCGACGGGTGCGAAGGGTAAGGAAGCTAGTCGAACCAATTAGTATCCATTTAGGTAGTTGGAATGTAGGGTCGCTTACAGATAAGTTAAGAAAATTAGTTGATACCGCGACTAGGAGTCGTATAAATATATTATGCGTTCAAGAGACTAAATGGAAGGGTCAGAAGGCGAATGAGGTGGACAATACATGTTTCAAGCTTTGGTACACAGGGACAGTCGTGAATAGAAATGGAGAAGTTTTGATTGATAAGAGCCTCAAGAATAGTGTGGTGGGAGTGAGAAGACAAGGAGATAGGATTATCTTAGTCAAGCTTGTCATTGGTGATATGGTCTTGAGCGTAATTAGTGCATATGACCCAAGTAGGCCTCGACGAGAGTGCTAAGAGACAGTTCTAAGAAGACTTAGATGGTCTGATTAGAGTTGTACCTAGTAGTGATAAGCTTTTTATAGGAGGAGATCTTAATGAGCATGTAGATACTACAAGCGTAGGTTTCGAGGCAGTTCATGGAGGTTTTGGGTATGGTAGTAGGAATTAGGAAGGGAAGGAAGTTATGGACTTCGCGGTAGCTTTTGACCTGATGATAGCCAACACTTTCTTTAGCAAGAGAGAATCTCATCTAGTGACCTTCAGTAGTGGACAACACTATTGCTAGATTGACTTTGTCCTCGCAAGAAGAAAGGACAAACGAGCATGCTTGGGTTGCAAGATGATATCCAGGGGAGTGTGTTGTTTCTCAACATAAGCTTTTGGTGGCAGACTTTCGTTTTCAGGTGCGTGCTCGTAGAGAAACAAGTTAAGATTGAAAGAACAAAGTGGTGGAAACTGAAAGAGGAGACGTCAGATGTATTCAAGAAAAGGGTTATCAAAGAGGGCTTTTGGAAGGAAGAAGATGACATAAACAACATGTGAGAGAAGATGGCAATCAACATTCGGAAAGGTGGCCTCAGAGGTGTGTGGAGTAACCAAAGGAAATGGAGGCGAGGCTAAAGATACTTGGTGGTGGAACGAGGAAGTCCAAAGGGCTATTAAGGAGAAGAAAGAATGCTATAGACGCTTATACCATGACAGAAGTGTGAACAACATAGAGAAGTACAAGGTGGCAAAGAAGACTGCAAAGCGAGCTGTAAGTGTGGCAAATGGTAGAGCGTACGAGGATCTTTACCAACATTTGGGTACGAAGAAAGAAGAGAAGGACATTTAAAGGATGGCTAGGGTTCGTGAGAGAAAGACAAGGGACTTCAACCAAGTTCAATGCATTAAGGATAAAAGAGAGCATCTATTGGTGAAGGAGGATGAGATCCGATATAGATGGCAAGAGTATTTTGATAAATTATTCAATGGTGAGAACATAAACACAACCTTTCAGTTGGATAAATCTTTTGATGACACCAATAGGCACTTTGTGCGGAGAATCCAAGAATCTGAGGTCAGAGAGACGTTGAAAATGATGAAAGGAGGTAAGGCGATGGGACCGGATGGTATCCCAATCGAGGTGTGAAGATGCCTCGGGGACATAGCTATAGTATGGCTAACCAAGCTGTTCAACCATATTTTTCGACCGAACAAGATACCTGACTAGTGGAGGAGAAGTATATTGGTACCGATCTACAATAATAAAGGGGATATTCAAAGTTGTACTAATTACCGATGAATTAAGTTGATGAGCCATACTATGAAGCTATGAAAGAGAGTTATCGAACATCGCTTGAGAGCAATAACGTGGATCTCTATGAATCAATTTGGTTTCATACCCGGTAGGTCAACCATGGAAACAATTTTTTAATAAGACAAGTTATGAAGCGGTATAGGGAGAAGAAGGACCTACACATGGTTTTTATTGACTTGAAGAAGGCTTATGACAAAATACCAAGGAATGTTATGTGGTGGGCTTTGGACAAACATAAAGTCCCAACGAAGTACGTCGGGCTCATTAAGGATATATACAACAATGTTGTGACTAGTGTTTGAACAAGTGATGGAGACACGGATGACTTTCCGATTAGGATAGGACTACATCAAGGGTCAGCTTTGAACCCTTATCTGTTTGTCTTAGTGAAGGATGAGGTCACAAGGGACATATAAGGGGACATTCCTTGGTGTATGCTTTTTACGGACGATGTAGTGCTAGTTGATAAAAGTCGGACATGAGTGAATCAAAAAACTGGAGTTATAATGGGAGCCTTTGGAGTCCAAAGGTTTTAGACTCAGTAGAACTAAAACTGAGTATATGAGATGTGACTTCGGCACTACTACTCGAGAAGAGGAAGATATTAGTTTAAAAGGTCAAGTAGTGCCTAGGAAGGATACATTTCGATATTTAGGATCAATGCTACAGAGAGACGGGAATATTAATGAAAATGTTAGCCATAGAATCAAAGTAGGGTGGATGAAGTGCACGTGTCCTAATGATAAAATACCTGAAGCTAAAATGTGTATATATGACAAGACGGTACCACATAAGCAAAAAATGACAAGTTTTTATATGAAACAACGATTAAAACGATGATATATGTGAAAGATTAGGGATAGCACCAATGTAGAAAAATGATACCATGGATACCCTAAGCAAGAGCCAAAAAAATGAGATGTTCAATAGATGATTCTCCGTGTCGCCGAGGCCGAATCACGTATGTCGAGGCGATTCTTGGATTGCGGTCATACATGAGGGGATCGAGTTGTCCCATCCATTTAATATGAATGCATCCGTGATAGATTAGGGTTTAGCACAGAGCAATTGACAACGATCAAAAGCTTGTCCAACACAGGGTTTGCCATGCCTTGAAATCCCACCTAAACTGGCACGACGCCGACCGCCGAGGGACATGTCACCAACCTCGGCAGAATCAGGCCTCCTCGCGCGGTCGGAGACGAACCACCAAGTCAAAAATTCACAAGGCACGGCATGTCACCCACTGAGGAGGCCATGCCGACTAAACGTCAACGAGGACCCCTAGTGAAATCGGCTAAGCTATTGTGATCAAGTACCAATTGTCATTCCCGAGAGAGGTCGCCATGATGAATAGACCGGATCTTTGACTTAAGGCTCCACATGTAGCTCTCTCAATAAAAGGAGACTATAAAGGAAAAGGATGGAGAATATACCAAGAAAAAAGACTCAATTCATTAGCCTCGAGAGCAAGATCAAGCAGTCCGCACCACTCCACGCCGAGACCGGGACTAGCTCACTCTTCACCCAAACTTGTAACCCCTACTACAAACACTTTGCAAAGAATACAAGATCGATCTTCTAGATCGGACGTAGGGCATCGATTGTTCGAACCAAAGATAAACCTTGTGTCTCTTTGCATCACCATGCACGCAGCTTTACATTTATTGGTTGGTTGAGGAAGGGTTTCAACTAAAAAAGCCTACTTCAACGGTTGAGATGGTTGTGACATGTCCAACGGAGACTATCAGAGGCACCGTGTGTGCTTTGTTGTTGTTGATGATGATGGTGTTCCTTTGGTCTAAAAAATTTAAAAGGGGAATATACCAAAAGACTTAGTTTAGATGGTTAGGAAATGCTATTTATGCTGAACTTTGATTGCTTGCATTGGTTTCAACTCTAGTCTACCCCAACTTGTTTGAGACTTAAATACTTTGTTGTTGTTGATTGGTGGTGGTGGTGTAGTTTTAGCATAAAAATGAGCGTTTGGATAGACCGTTATAGCATGCCACGTCATTGTTTGGCTACGCCAAAGTTTGCAAAAGCAAATCGTCCGTCGCATTATGGTAGCTTTAGCATGAAAAATGAACAGGCCGTTATATAAAGGCTGCAAGCGTCGCAACTTTGGCAAAAAGCTATCAACATTTGGCAAAAGCTATGGCACGATGCGGCGAGTTCTGGACTCTATCCAAACGCTCCCTTAGACTCTACACTCGATGCGCTCGAGTGCTTGTCACGACCAAGAATTTTAAATCACGGTTTTCTCAATAAGGTTTTTGGTTAGCTAATTTGGAACCATTATCACAATCATACATCGCATCGTTCTACAGAAATATAAAAACTTTATTACAAGTGGCTAACGTACGATTTACACTAGTGCTTACGTGGCTATAAGCACATATCCTTCAAGATACCTCAAGTTCATGGGCGTGATTGGCCTTTTAGGATTTTTGCTAGCCAGCAGCAAAAAAAAAAAAAAAACATAAAAAAAAAAAAAACCATCTTTCTTGCCAAAAGAAACTCCTAAAAACACATAACAAAAACTCAAAAAGCAACAGCAAAAAAAAAATATAGAAATAAAAAAAAGTTGGAAAAGAGCGCCAGTAAAATCAAAATCGGAAAGGGAGAATTCTCGAAGCCTAACCGGGACTCTGGCGTCCCACTCCGGCGCCACATGCCCCTGTCTCCCTCGCCGCCGCCGCCGCCGCCGCCACCACGAAGTCTGGACCCGCTTCCACCCGTTCAGCATCCGGCGGCGCTGCCGCTTCTGGTGCTAGCCGCAACGGAGCTTCCTTCTGAGCGCCGGTGGCGGGTGGGCGGGAGGGTCAGCGATGCCGCCGGCCCGTAAGAAGCGCGGGGCGGCGGCCGCCGCCGCCGCAGCAGCCGCGGCGGCGCAGTGGAAGGTGGGCGACCTCGTGCTCGCTAAGATGAAGGGCTTCCCGGCGTGGCCGGCCATGGTGAGTAGCACTGGCCACTTGTTTAGGCATCACGCAGTTTGGGGATTCTAGCTATAGTTGGAGAGCTTGCCTAGGTTCGTCGTTTGACAAGAGCAGTCTTTTTTTTACGGTGCTACTACGGACGGTAATCCCTGCTAAAAGTTGAGGTTTCTATGGCTGCTCATTTTGATTTGGCAGACCTTTACAATAATGTTCTAGTTTTTGTGCTGCCTTTAGTGAGGCTTGGCATGTTCAGGGGCTTCTCGGTATATGAGATCAGTGGTGACCAACTTGCCGTGAATCTGTTCTGACCAGTTCGCAAGTTTCCACTAGTTCCATGCCCTAAGTATAATTTCTCACTGCAATGTCATATTGTTTCTCAAATATTGATTGCCTTGATAAGTGAATGATTACTGCAATTGAGATCTCTTCCTTCTGCTAATCGGGGTTGTAGAGTTTAATCGGCTGGTAAATGGGAGCTTGTTTACCTTTGATATTGATGAAGATGTGCTAGATAAAAAACGTTTGTTGGAGCAAATGTTGGTTCCCCATGCCATAAGCTTGTGACCAAGGGTTATAGTCTATATTTCAACTAAATCCTGATCCTTTAGGCCAATCAGAGGTGCTAAGTGTTTTGCTTGTTAGTGCCAACGTGTTGGTTTCAGTGGTTTCTGGACGGTTTAGGTACTTGGATGCAACATGGTGATTTTCTGGTTGTGGAAGAACTGTGCCAGCTTTTGGGGAACCAACTGGTGTCTCTCAGGCTGTTGTTCGGTTCAATTCACTATGATTCTCTTTAGAATCCCTGTCCCATGCTTGTCTTTCCTCACCTTGGGTATTCCCTGGTTGGTCACAGTTGGCCACAGTGCCAATGTGCAATTAGCTTGGGCATATGGAACTGTGAAGTTTCAAATGGTTCTTTGATACTTGGCTACTTGGCTTCGTTATTTCTGATGCTTGCATACTGTTTTATATTCCTCGGCAGTTCGGTCCTCTAAGGATTATATATTGTACTTGAACTGGTGAAGATTTGGAAGCAGCCATTGATGTTTTCATTAATGGAAACACGATATCCTTTAAAGAGGATCTGTCAATCCTTATACTCTCTCTGCATTTGAAGCCAACCTTGCACCACTCTCACTTGGTTTATGATGAAGTTTCTCAGAGCATGATTTAAAGCCCCGGTGATTTTGGCTCTTAAGGTTGGTGGGCACCATGAATTTGGTTGATATAATTCTTGTTTTCTTTCTCATGAGTCATGAGTGTGGGATTTGGAATTTTTTGATAACCACCAATTGAAGTACTTTCTGGTTTGTTTTTGTTCATTTTCTATAGCAGTTCATCAAATACTCAGTCCACGTCAACATTTATAGATCTCAGGCATAGTTGTGGTATAGGTGATACGGGTAAGCTCCTTTCGGATGAGTTTTAACCTGTGGTATTTAAGGGCAACATAAGTAGGTTCAGTTACTAATCGATTAATATTCTGAGCATTGAGGAGCAGGATCTTAATGCTGCTTCTTCGTTTATTTTTGTTTCGGAAATTTCATAAACGACGAGGAAATGAGCTCTATCAATACTGAAATGATACATATAGATCTCTAAAGTTCAGCACATGTCTCTAGAATTTTATGCAGTTTGTTCCACACTTAAATTGGGGTGTCTGCTGTGAACACGGATTTCTCTAGATATTTTCTTCTCTGTCATATACTCATTTCTCATTTTCTTGCAGTTATACTTTTATGGCTTTCTTACTTTTGCGTGTTATGTGGTATTACAAAGGTGTTAATATGCATAGGATAACATTCTCGATCACCATGAACTTTGATACTAACCTATAGTCCTAGATTTGCTGTTGAGATTTTCATGGATTACAATTAGTGAGCTCTTCACGGTGTACTCCAACCATCCAAATTATACCACATTTGGTTTTGCCAACGTGACAAACAGGGAATACCCCCCATTTCCCCACACACACAAGTACCAAGTCTATTAACTCCGCGTTGTAGGAGGCATGATGTTGTTGGAGGAATGGGATGCATTAAAACTGCACTGCCCACGGACACTAGCGTGCAGGAGAAATAGGAGTGGCGCAGTGAAGATAGAAATTCACTAGCGACCCACCCGAAGAGCCAAGCACATCCACCCGAGACAAACACAGTTAGGCGCTGATCAAGGATGGACGGAGAGAGTATTTCTTTGTCTCTGCCGGCAAAGGTTTCTTTTAATAATGTCTCTATTCTCTCAGAAGTTCTTTGGGCTATTTCAGGAAACCATTTTGTTTTTCATCTGTATGGCATGTTTATAAGTCTTACTTCACATAACCATGCCATTAAGCTGAGATTTCCTGGGCAAAGCTGCCTCTAATAATCTCCACCTTATTCATGCACTCGTAGCCTTTTTTTTACTCTTGGAGATGCGCGTGGTTGTAGAGTTGAAACTGAAAATATCCATGTTGAGGATCTCAGTCCCTGAATTCCCATACTGTTACAGATAACTGAACCAGAGCAATGGGACCTTCCTGCAGCTAAAAAGAAGTTTATTGCAGCTAAAAAGAAGTTGCTGGTCTACTTTTATGGAACTAAAGAGATGTGAGTATCACTTTTAATTTAAGATCTTTTGAATTTAAGATCTTCCTTTTCGATTGATATTCTATATATGTTCCTCTTCATCCCATATACATTGTTTGCTTGGACCAGATAGCTCTTTTCTTAAGATGTATATTATTCAGAAATAATTTGACTCTTCGCCATGTCGTCACATGAAATTGGTAGGATCCTAGTAAATTACAAACTTTTAGGATTTATTTATTTATAGCTTTACATGTTGGTAGGATCCTAGTAAATTAGTTTAACCTTTTCTAAGATTTTATTTGGATTTTTATTTTTAGTTGAGATAAGGAACATATAATATCATTAGACTTTTAGGATTTATTTATTTTTAGCCTTACATGTCAGTAGGATCCTAGTAAGTCAGTTTACCCTTTGTAAAATTCTAAGTTTTATTTGGATTTCTGAGAAAAAAAATCCTAATGTGATCTTACAAATTGACACATTTTGCTAAATGTTCGTACAATTTTACAAATTTAAGAATGCATATAAAAAGGACTACATGATGATCACATTCCAAGTCAGTATCCCAGATGATGATTGTTTATGAAAGGAGCTATAGATGACAAAAGTGGACAACAGTCTGTGAAGAGGTTCTCAGACAAAATTATTCATGCAATGTAATGTTAGTACACTCAACACTAGTTTCGTAGTCAACAAGTGGGGAATTAAGTATCTATCTGGTTCGCCATGCTAGATGGACACCGTATTGAATGGGTTTGTTCGTCCAATTTTTGTGGAGTGCCATTTGTAGTGTGGTGGTGTTGGCATGGTTTCATTTCATACCATGAATCAAGATGATTTTTATTTAGAGTATCTTATTTCCTGGCAACTCTAAGAATCTAGAAGAATAAACTTCATGTGCTGATAAATTCAGAACCAGTGAAAGATATGACTAGTTTTAGGAATCTTGTATTAGTTAATTATGATTTATGAAGCTTAATTCTGTGATCTCTTTTCTTACTTAATGTCCAGTTCTATACTAGCATCACTAACAATTTCTGACATTGAAGTGGGTTAGCCTAAAGACATTGGTAACTTGCAGGAGTTCTACGTCGTGGCAGCTATTAGCTTGGATATATATATTACTTAATTCATTAAATCCCTATCCCACAATATGCAATGCTTTTTCTGACATTAATCTTTTCAATTATATTCTAGTGCTTTGTGCAACTATGCTGACCTTGAGGCATTTACCGAAGAGAAGAAAAAATCTCTACTTGTTAAGCGACATGGGAAAGGAGCAGATTTTGTCCGAGCAGTTAAGGAAATAGTTGAGATTTATGATTCTTTAAAGGAAGACAAGAAAGACATTAATAATGATAATAATAAGAGTGGCTTTACTGAAGATAATTTGAAGATAGATGTCGAGAATCATGTCAATGACAGCAGCAGTTTGGATACAGAAGGTCCTGATGATGGTTCTGATCCAGGCAATGACAAGAAAATGGAGGATTGTCCCTCCTCTTGCATGGATCACAGCATGGTAAGTACTCAGTCTATTATCAACACAATGGAGGGTGAGCATTGTGTTGTGGATTCTGCAGATGGCGACCCTATTGAAAAGTCATCTATCCTTCATGAGAGTAAGCATTCTCCTTTGCATGCTAGTTCATGCTCAAAGAAAAGACAAAAAGATTCACAGAAACAAAATGCTTGCACACATGGTAATTTTGCATCATCATGGAGATCAAGAAGTTCATTAGGCGCTGAATTAAGAACAAGCCGGGATTCTGGTGGTCTGATGAATGGTACTAATCTGCCTTCTGTTGATTTGATTCCTGGTGACAAGCAAGAAGATTCTGCTCACTGTAAGTGCATTGAGGATGATAAACCAAGCCCGTGTTCTGTTTCTGCTACAAAGGAAGCAGTCTTGTCACATCCAAGTCGAGGAACCTGCAGTCAACTTGTGGCCTCTGGGACCAGTAATGATGATAAAGGCCCGTGTACTGTCATACATAGTGTACAATGCACTTTTAGTAATGAAGTATCTAAAACTGGAGTCAGGGATAAAGAAGTCAACCTGAATGGAATGGTTGATCTTCCCATGACCACCACCCGAACTTTTAAAAGAAAAAGAAGGGCAAACACTTGTCGTGCTAATAATCCTGTCAGTAGTGAGCTAAAAAATATGGATAGGGCATTGCAGCCTAAGTCAATTAGAGATCTTGTATATTCTCCAAATTTAAGGAATGAAATTAACAGATCAGATGGAGATGAGCACTTGCCATTGGTCAAAAGGGCAAGAGTCCGAATGGAAAGGTCTCCACTGGAGAATGCCACGGTTGATGAACCTGGCCATTCTTCTGACCAAACAGCGCCAGCTAAACTTGATCCATGTATTAAGCATGCAACGTCTGCAATATCTGGGAAGGATCAATCAGCTGATGATGTACCTCCTGGCATAGATGCTTCACCCAAAACAAATTACTCTGACCTGCCAGGAGAAGTTCAGAATTCTTGTATGAATAACAATGAAGAGCAACCAATGGTTATGACATTGGATGTAGAAGCTGCTTTGCCTCCATCAAAACGCCTTCATCGTCTCTTAGAAGCTATGTCTGTTAATGCATCTGAGACTGTGAGTACTTTGCCTGAAGTTACTAAGTCAAAGGAGGTTACCCTGGAAGGCTGCACTGCTTCAACAGAGAGGTCCCCTCCTAAAATCTCTGCAGATGCACTTGTTGAAAGTCCCAAATCTGCAATGGCTAAAAGCCCTAAGGTATCTTTGACTGTGCTTCCTTTAGATGCCCCAACTGACCAAAAGCATATCACAGAAGCTGTCATGTTGAACAAGGATGCCCTCCCTCCTGTTTCTTTGGATTTAAGAACTGATGTCAGTGACAGTTTACCAAAGGACAAAGTTTCTGAAGAAACCTGCATAGACAGTGAAAATTTGAGAACTGATGTCAGTGACAGTGTACCAAAGGACAAAGTTTCTGAAAAAACCTGCATAGACAGTGAAAATGTACCTGATTTGGTTGTACATACTGGGATTGATAGCAATGTTTGTGTAAAAGGTACAGCCTGTTCCATGAAATTGGAAGAGCCTGGCTTTGCGAAGTTTGATCGACTACCTTCATGTAATGCAAGTGGAAATAAGCCTACGGAATCCATCGAAGGCTCTACTAATGGTTTTGGCAAAACTATAGATGTATCTTTTGAGCCAATTAGCCGAGCAAATGCTACTGTCTCGTATACTAGTGGCAGCTGTGATCCTGTGCTGCATGTTGGCACTGTTTTAGATAAATCAGTAGTTAGTGTGCGTGACAGAACAAGTGCCTCTTCTTTGGTTTCTAAAGTTCCATGTATTCATTCTGACACAAGCACCAGAGCATTTGAAATGTAAGTCTTCTCTTTAATGTGAAAAAACGAACCTTCAATTTGTTATGTAGGCATGTTTGTCTACTGGCATTACATGTTCTTGCATTAATTGATTTACTGCAAATCTTAGGAGCCATATGCATGTAACTTACTAAGTTCTTCACTTCTTCTCAAGTCTTATGTTCATAATCATGTTGACATGGTTAATAATAGTTTCGATGTTTAATCTTGTAGGCATAGTTCTTCAGTTATTGCACCGGAAGACCTTGACCACAGAATAAACCTAAAGGATAAGAGCTTATCTTCAGATTCAATGCCTACAGAAGAACTAGTTGCTGATGGACATGCTCATATATTCTCTCAATCAAATTCATTCATGGACAGTTCTCTAGATTCAAAATTTGCTTCAGAACCTTTGGTGAATATCCCTTCACTCAAAGAAGGATCAAGTAGCTGGTGTTCACCTTCAAATCATTTGATAAGGTCTGCATCAGATAGGGTTCATACTGAACAAGATAGTGGTGAGATTCCTTTTGATAATCTGCAACCGGAAGGCTTGTTAGCAGGTTGTAATGAAGCCCATTCATCACGGAGGGCGTTTGAAGCTTGCGTTGGTACACTAACACGAACAAAAGAAAGTATATCTCGTGCAACACGTCTTGCACTGGACTGTGCTAAGCATGGCATTGCTGGGGAGGTTAGGCCTTGCAAACTCTTCACCTTAATTTTAAAGGCATGCGGTTTCACTGTGGTTTATCTTAGATTAATTTCTCATGGTTTTATTATTACCGTTAACTTGCTTGTATTTGTACATCTGGTAGCTTGATAAGGCTAAGTTATTCATCTGAAGCCCCTGATTGTGATGATATCAACTCATGCCTAGGTTCCCATTTACAGATTAACTTTCATGCCAAAGGCTGATTTTGCTCATCATAGAAATATGGTCACCATAGCTGTTTTGTTCACCATAGTTTCCTGTATATCAATTCGTGGCCTTTGTATATATGACATAGCATGCTATTTACAAGCTAGAAATTAGTGGGTATGTTATGTTAACCACTATGGCACAATCTTCACTAGATTAAAAATTTTCAGGTTTTTTGTTTGAGCACAGTAACAGCTTTTGCTGCATTCAATCTTAAAAGTATGCCCTTTTATAGCCATTGGACCAATCAATCAGTTTTAAGTTGTGTGATGCAGATGTGATTTGATTCTGTTCTTTTTTTAACAAAATAATCTAGGTAATGGATATTATTATTGAACACCTGGAAAAGGAAAGTGATTTATATAAAAGGGTCGATCTGTTCTTCCTTGTCGATTCCATAATCAGATACTGTCGCAATCAGAAAGGTATGTGCATAATATTTTTAAGTTTGTTTCATGGGAATGGGCAGATTTAAATCTACTAAGCTACTGCCATGAATCATGTAGGTGGACCTGGTGGTGCCTATCCTTCTCTCATCCAAGCAGTCTTGCCACGAATTATATATGCTTCTGCACCACCTGGAAATTCTGCTTGGGAGAATCGGAGGCAGTGTCTTAAGGCAAGTGAATTCAGTACCTGATTAAAGAATACGATAAGTTTAACGCTCTTTCACATTTCTTTCACACACTTTGTTTCTTGGTGGTTAGGTTTTGAGGCTCTGGCTTGAGAGAAAAACCCTTTCAGAATACATCATTCGCCACCATATTAAAGAGCTTGAAGCTCTTAATGATGCGTCATTTGGAAGCTCCCACCGTCCTTCAGGTAGAGAGAGAGCTCTGAATGACCCTTTGCGGGATGATGAGGCATTTTTTGTTGATGAGTATGGAAGGTAGGCCTCTACTTTTTGAATAAGAACCCGTTTCTGAGGTTAAAATGAGTGTACTGCTGAGGCTTGTTTATGCTGTTTATTGCTATTGCACACAAAATATTCTGCATATTTACATTTTGGGTTGGTTTTGGTAATCTTACATAATTTGCAAAAGGAAAAAAAAAACGTTAGTACATGAGTTTGGTGCTGATAGCATATCATCATCGTAGCCAGTAGGTAAATTGTTTCTGTTTTCCTTCAATCCAGATTGGCATTGTTGGAACTGTCTGCTATACAATTTCAGTGCTTGTATGTTTGGGAGCTGTCAGATTGTAGCAAATGAGTGAAAGTATTATCAATACTAGAAAATCTTTCAAGAAATGTTGAAAAAGTTTAAAGGACATAAATAATAGTCATGACTCATGATGACACTTCAAGGTTATCTGAATGACTGCTGACTAGTGTTGTTGCTTATACGACTGAACAAAAATATGAAATGTCTAATTTTCAAACAAAAATTTGGATCTGTATTTGAGCGTGGTCTCACTTAGCATATGTAACAAACTGCGTTTATGCATGCTGAACTGCTGTACCATCGTTTTGTACTAAAAACTATCTGTTCACCATGCCCCACGTTTATATGATTGATTATTCTTCACAGCAACGCTGGTCTTCATCTTCAAAATTTAATTTGCACGAAACTACTTGAAGATGAGGATGGGAGGTCCTCTGAGGAGAGGAGCTTTGAAGGTCTTACTCCTGAACATGAAGTTACTGGTGCTAATGAACAAGAGGCATGTCAATTGCATGTGACAAAGCATCAACTCCTATTGGAAGAAGTGGACGGTGAACTTGAGATGGAGGATGCAGCCCCGTCATCTGGAGCTGAAGCCAGTACTGGATGTCAAGAAGATCTGACTAATAACGATACTTCTATAGGAACTGCTCAGCATCTCAGTTCCGTTCCGCCACTACCTGATGATAAAGCTTCATCCCCTCCCCCATTGCCATCATCACCGCCACCATTACCACGTCCATCATGTCTTGTCTCTCAAGATTCTCAGGTGCAAGGCGCATTGCCTGTGGCAGCCAATTGTGTTGAGCAACACCATCCAGGAGCCAACTATGTATGTAGCTCTTATTTTGTTTCTGCAGGAAAACTGCTCTGGAATTTGATTTGTGGTGAGTATAGTTACTCCGTGATGTTCTTTGCAGAATGTTGAAGGCCAACATCCTTATTCTGCTGCAAACAATCGAGGCAACGTGGATGCATGTATAGCTTCTTCACAGCCTCCAGTACCATACAATTCTGGATATGCAGGGCATACTAATCAGATATATCAACCGCCGCTGCCGCCGCCACCACCACCACCACAGCCTATTGCAACATTCCCTTCTGGGCCCCATGGCAGCTTATGTGGGCCCTCAGTGCCACATCATGGAAATAACTATCACCATCCACCACCAGCACCACTGCCGAATAGTGGATACCATTTACAGCCACCGCCACACCCACCAGGTCCGAATCAGTTCCCATGTCCACCTGAACCAGAGCAGAGAGCACAGCCTTGGAATTGTGGCCCTCCGGCCCCTTCCTATCCTGAGAGATATCAGTATGGTGGACATGATAGAGGACACCATGGATATGATAGAAGACCTTACTTTGATGATAGAGGACATCACTTTGATGATAGGGGGCATCGCTTTGATGGTGGAGGGCATTACTTTGATGATGGAATGCATCACTTCGATGATAGATGGCGCCACTTTCATGATAGGGGGCAAATGCACCATGAAGTTATGGATGGTGGAAGGTTTCCCTCGTTCTTTCCACCAGGTATTCCCCCCTCCTCTTTCTGCCTATGCAACATTTAAGTTTTGCATCCAACTGGTCCCGTTTATTTATGAACAATTTTGCTGAAATACCGGATTTACTTGTGTTTTTCATGAATTAAACTTTTATGTTTAGCCAGTTTTGTTCTTATCAGTATCCAGTTGATCCTATTCCTTTTCAAGCAACGTGCAGTTCATGTTATTTATCACTCATTGCACTATCTTCTACAATCATTCAGGCCCCCCCTGTCCAGATCACTTCAAAGCGCCACCCAACCAATTTCACTGTGGACGACCATTGGATCCTCCACCAGGTCCATGTTCTGGGTGGCCTATGCCTCATAGGAGATCCAAGCACCCTCCTGATTCTAGACACTCAATGGAACCTCCAGTTTGCAATGGAGGAGGTATTCTATTTCATTTTTCCTTCTGATGGCAGTCCTCTAGGCTCTCATCATTATTTTCCATCATCACAAACTCCGAATGTTTTAATAGTCACTTTTTTTTTCACTTGAAGCTGAATGCTAGTCTCTGTTGCGAAATCAGGTTGGAGGAGGCATGGAAGACGTGATTATGATAGATACCATTGATGACTGGTATCAGAAGTTTTATGTTGGAACTACTGTGCTTACACGTTAGCCCCTTTACAAATTTAACTTCTGAGATGCATGATTTACTTGGGATAAGGTACTCGTGAAGTGTGGAATAAGAGCATTCCCCACTAAGTTTCCTACATACTATTTCTCTTTTGCATTATTTCAGAATGATATCGGACTCTGCGACTCAACTCTGATCATGGCTGATTTGTAACGCTTGGTTGCAAGGGCTGGGTGGTGTTGTGGCAATATTTATGGTACACATTTCGTCCTTTATAAACTATACTTGTTATATTATTTCTTGGCGCACCTGTTGTCGTTTTGTTTATTGATCTGACACATGTTTTTTTTCTGATTATTTTTTCTAGGTTTTCCTTGTCATTGGTGAATTGTGAAGCATTCTTCAATGTCTCCGTTCACTGATGTGCTTAGTGTTAAGTCTCTTGAAAATAAGAGACGCAACCCACCCACTGTACATATGTAGCTGTAGCAGTGTTCTGCAAATGCAGAAACGGGAGCCAGGCCAGTCGTCTGAAGGGTGTGATGCATGTTGTTAACCTTAGCATTCCACCATCTTGTCGACATCGCTGTGTATTTCGTTCCTGTAACATTGTTGCATCGAACAATCATTTTTTTATGACCATTTAGTTTGTAGTTTGACAGTGGAGCACATGGCCAAAATTCAAATGATTTTTTTTTTGTACTTGTAGACTTTATTGGGCATCTTGTGATGACGTAAATATGGCTCAATATATTCTTCCGGCGAATGCAGCCGAGTCGCCACACACTGCGAGGCTGTTTGGCTCTTCTGAGGTCTGGGTTTGGGAATGTACAACTAGTTTCTACTACGATTTAATTGCAACTGCCCAAATTTAGTCTCGCTCGTCGACGACTCAAATTCAATCTAGGAAGGAAACCATGGTGGGATATTTTAGCGTAAAATAACCTTTCTTGTCGTTCAGATTTATCTCGATCGGTGCTTGGTTTCGTCCCTCAACTATTATATTAAACTGGTCATTTGAATCTTTTAGCCTTCCTTTTTGGCATGCCACTTTGGCGTGCCAAGACAAGCATATGCACGCCTCCCGTGTGCTGAGTCATCATATATATACGAGGCCATGACCGTGCTTCAGCTCCGACTTTGTCGTTTGTGCACATGGCCATCTGAAAACTAATAACTCTCTCAAACTAGGCATTGTCAACATGGCGTCATCGCACAGGAGCATGCAGGGACTACAGTTAAGTGCTTTAGAACTTGAGATGAGATACTTAAAATCAATGTGAGATCACACTACAATAAATATGAGATATCGTCACTATTTTTATATGATATAAAATTATGTACTCATACAAAAAATAGAGATCTCTCATTTGACGTGCATTTTAATATCTCATTTTTTATTTACACTGATATATAATACGAGATCATCATTACTAGAATTATAATTGTTTTGAAAAAAATCATTACTAGAATTATTAAAAAAACGTTTCCAAAATGTATTATTGATCTTTCCTTTAGTCAAATTATCGTATTAGAGATCGAATCAATGTTTTAATAGGATGCAAACGTGCTCTTGGTATCGTGGATAGGTCTTCTTATGCATATTTGTTTAATAAATGTAATAATAGGTAGACTGATATATATACTTTCTCCATCCTAAAAAGAGTGCTGGTTAAATTTTCTTAAGTTTAACTAGATTCACTAGTACAGAAACAAACTATACTCCCGGTTAGAAAACCCCACGAATCCGGGACTAAAGGGACTAAATCATGGTTTTAGTCCGGTTAATAATACCAACCAGGGCTAAAGGACCCATCCTTTAGTCCCACGTAGTAATACCCTTTAGTCCCGATTGGTATTACCAACCGGACTGTCCTTTAGTCCCGGTTGGTATTACCAACCGAACTAAAAGATTTTTTTGTTTCTATTTTCAATTGATGATTTGTTCTGATTTTCGAATACACATTCTACGCTGCTAATAATATTTAATACAAAATTTTGAATTTATTAACATATTTAAAGAGAACTTTGAATTTACTAAACATATTTATTAATTTAATAATATAAATATTTTGTTTTGAATTTAATTTGTTGGGCACCTCCTTATAAAGATGGCACCCTCCAAAAATTAGTGTATGCTGCTTATTGTGGCGTGCACACGGTATTCTTTAGTAAAAGGCGAAAGAATAATTCGCTTTGTGCTCACCACGCAGCTGCGCGCCTTGAACTGGTGCACCTGGCCCTTGTTATGTAGCTAATCTGTGCTCCGCCTCCTCTTTACGCTACCGATGTGGTGCTATCTCCTCAGCAGCAAAGCAGCAGCAGAGCAAAGAATAACGAACGACTCGACTCCTCACCATTACCATTCGCTCAGACTCATCTGACAGTAATAGGCCGGCCACATTCATTTGCTTGGAAATCATGGGCTGCTTTCTTACCTTTGTGGCCCACTAGATGCATCTAGTGACTGACACATGATGCTGGATTGCTGGTGGGTGGGTCTGGCATCTGGACTCTGGCCTCTGTGGTGTTGTTCAGAAGCAACAGTAGTATCCTCCTACCATGGTTGGTCCAGGTCCGTATCGTATACTGGTACGTTCGGAAGCAGTGATCTTCAATTGCTTATAAAACGTTGCAATGTGTTGTCCGGTGAGAAGAGATGGAGATATACTAGAGCTGGCCTGTCACGACAGAGGGTACGTACGCATTGAAAATGCAACTTGTACAGTGAGTGAGATTCCCCGAGACCCAAATGCAACTGGGCGACGCGCTATACTGCTGTAGTGATGCTGCTGTCGATGGTTTGGGTTTAATTAAGATGAACGAACTACTGACCGGGAGTAGACTTTTACTCCCGGTTGGAGTGACCAATCGGGAGTAAAAGTTAACCTTTAGTCCCGGTTGGTAGCTTCAACCGGGAATAAAAGTCCCCTGCAGCAAAAGCCTGCCGCAGTAGCCGTTGGGCATGGACCTTTAGTCCCGGTTAGAGCTACCAATCGAGACTAAAAGTTTCTCTAGTCCCGGACGTGAAAAATACCGGGACTAAAGCTAAATTTTAAAGTGGATCAAAAATCGTTTCTCTACTGGTGTTTGCAAAAAATATTAACAATATTTGTATGTTCAAATAAGTTTACTACTATGTATCTAAGGAAGTGAAGACTCGTAAAAGAAAAACTCTTACATACGTCAGCAATGCGCGTGCAATGCAAATAGAAATGCCGAGGAGTGTACGTTAGAAAATTCTAGTTCTGAAGTTTGTTGGCCTTTGCCAGGGCTTACTTGTTGTCAACTCATATTAATGCAGCTGGCGGCCACGTGCATCCATCTAAATCTCACAAGATTCGTTTGATTGATGCACGGCACCTAGCTAGCTAAACGACTCGTCAAGGCCACAATCATGCACCATATGAGCACACGGAAGCCACAGACCCACAGTACTAGTCGTCATATCTGTCGTGTATATATATGCACACCAAACCACATCATCATCATCATCATCATAATCATCTCATCAGAACAATCGTCTTTCGACGCGCGCACGCCAAAATACGCACAGAAGAATGCAGGCGTCTGCTTGCTTCTCCTCCATCTCGTCGCCACTGCTAGTGATGCCAGTAGTAGTCTTCGTAATGGCGCCGCTTCTGCTCGGGCTGCTGTCCACGACGCCGAGCCTGGCATGGGCGGCGCCGGTGTCCCGGACCATCACCGTGGACTGTCACGGGCGAGGTGACGTCAGGACGGTGCGGTCGGCCTCGGCGGTGGACTCCGTGCCGGACGGCAACCGTGACTGGATCAAGATCCATGTCATGGTCGGCACCTACTGGTTCGTTTCGTTCTACACTTATCTCTACTCTACTGCTGTTCTGTGCTAGCTAGTACTAGTTCATTCGATATTATAACCTCTGGTATTATGTGGAAATTAAAAAGAATTGAAGGAACATGCTCTAGTCTTAATTTGTTTGCTGCTGATGATGAAGCGATGAGCTAGCATCTAGCAGTTAATGCAATATGTCGGTACTTGCATGCATGCATTGCAGGGAGAAGGTGAGCATCCCAAAGCAGAAAGGCTACATCCTGCTGGAGGGGGACGGCTCGTCGACGACGGACATCAGCTTCGACGCGCAAGCGCACGCCGGCATCGACGACATAATGGGCCGCCCCAACGTGACGGCGGACGAGCAGTCGCCGACGTTCCAAAGTGCCACCTTCACCGTCCTCGCCGACAACTTGGTCGCCCGGGGCATTGCCTTCAAGGTTATCCTTCGATCGTCTTCTTCTTCTTCTTGATCGATCGACGCTCGCAAGCCTCGCCAACGCGCGCGATGTGTGCAGAACACGTACAGGGCGCCGGACGACCAGCTGAGCAAGGAGAACCAGGCGGTGGCGGTGCTGGTCGGCGGCGACAAGAGCGCCTTCTACGCCTGCGAGTTCCACGGCTTCCAGGACACGCTGTGCGACTTCCAGGGACGGCACTACTTCCGCGGCTGCCAGGTCCGGGGCGCCGTTGACTTCGTCTTCGGCTTCTGCCAGTCCATATACGAGGACTGCGCGCTCGTGTCCGACATGCCGCCGGGCCCGCAGACCGGGTGGGTGACCGCGCACGCGCGGGTCGCCGCCGGCAGCCCCGGCGGGCTCGTGTTCAAGGGCGGCGCCGTGCAGGCGGCGGGCGCGGCCCAGGGCCAGGGCCAGACCTACCTCGGCCGCGCGTGGAACGCCTTCGCCGCCGTCGTGTTCTACCGCACGCGCATGGACGGCGTCGTCGTGCCGCAGGGCTGGCAGGCCTGGAACGCCGCCGGCAACGTGTAAGCATCTATCGTGCATGCCACTGCTGCGCGCGGCGCCATGCATGCATTCGCCATGCGTGCGTGCGAAATGATTCATTTTTTTTCCAGGTGGAGCGTCACGTTTGCAGAGGTTGAGTGCACGGGACCAGGGTCGGAGATGAGCAGAAGAGTTGGCTGGGAGAAGCGTTTGACCGAGGAGGAGGTGCGAAGATTCGTGGACATCAGATTCATCGACGATGGCTGGCTGTCAAACCAGCCATAGTCCACAGAGATTATTATTAGCTAGCTGCTACTCTGAAGGAACTGAAATTAATTAATTAATCCCTGTCGGCCACCTGAGTGCCGACATAATTTTTCGGTCTCTGCGCAGCCGATATACCTATCGGCCTGGTATAGGCCACTGGGTTGTCGTATCCAGACCTGTTACAAGCCTTGTCGGGTGTTGGACGGCCGATAGATACTTGTCGGCCTTCCAGATGCCGATAAGTCTCCTATCGGCCCTCCAATAGCCGACTAGATACTACATTTACAATTTTTCCTAAACAAATGCTATGTTTGCAATTAATCATTTAAAAAATATTATTTAAAAAAATTCAAAGAGTCAAGACTCACCTACTACAAAATCACATTGTAGATTCAATGTGTTGTTGTTCTAAACGTCATTTATTTTCTATATTTTGCCACTGATGTTCTACAGACTATCGTGAGAACTGAGAACATATCGTTTTCCAACCCATAAATGAGAAAAATTTAACTGTAGGCCTATAGCCTCTGGTCTGAATGACAAGAAGCTTAGCCGACCGAAGTAGTAGAACAGCGACACGATCGCACAAAATACTAGTTTGGCCACTGATTAATATAGTACAAAAGATATACAAACTAAAGAGTTATAATGCCGTGGTGGGGTGCAGTATGTTAAGTTCATTTAAAACATATAAAGAGGCTATTTTTTTGAAAAATTAATTTTGGAAGACAAACTTACGCAAAAGCTATTTTCAAATTAAAGTTCACTTGACCCTACTACACCGTAAAATACAACAAAGAGCACATACCAAATTCAATTCAAAGGAACCTTTAGCAAGATCAAGATCACACTAATCTAGAATTGAAGGACCCAATGCATAAAGACCGAAGGACCCACATGTTGGGGACATAGAGGACTCTTTTGTATGTGCTATGGACTATTTTTGAGTTAATTAATCTAAGTCACTAGCACATGAGTGACTTGGGCCCACCACCAACCAGTTGGGGCCTTTTTGGATCCTCTTCTATGAACTTTAGAGCTCTAAGCTTTAGATATAGAGTCTCTAAACAAGTGGTCTAAAAATACCTCTAAACTTTAGCCCACCTCACATTAGAGCTTTGAATCTTAAACTAAGCTAAAATGTTGTAAAGTTTTTAGAGCTCTAAAGTTTAGAAGAGGGGATCTAAACAAGCCCTTATTGGTGGAAGCGACGTTATTATTAGACAAAAGAAAGGTCGTTATTGGTGGAAGCGACGTTATTATTAGACAAAAGAAAGGCTCTGCAATATCTTTTATGGGCCATTTAAACTAATATAGGTCATTGGATTATCATAAAATCCAACGGTGTTAGAGGAATTCTAGTCAACCATAGGATAGGTTCAGAAATGCCTTTGAGCCGGGAGGGATGACATACGGAAGAATCACACTCTTACTTTTATTTTATTTGAACAAACAATACCAGGAAGAAAGTGTCCATTAGCAGGGAAGTTTAAATTTACTTGAATAAACAATACTGTTGATATAGCTAGCAAAGAAAAAACATAAGATCATGGCCTCAGGAGGCTGTAATCCGGTGAAAAAAAGGATATACAAATAGAACTAAAATTTGAGCGAGTCATATAACCACACCACAAGCCGACAACGCCCTACCTCGCTCGCAACACACACACACACACCACAATGTCACACAAAGATAGCTAGGTGTGCAATAAACTAAGCAAGTCACACAAAGACCATCAATCCATAATAAAAGTAGCAAAGAAGAATTGAAGAAGAAGTCATCGTCCTCACACCACTAGTGGACTAAACAAACTGGACAATTGCCAATGGAAGTGGAAGTTGGAAGCATATCACACGGCGAGCATGAGGCACCTACAACTCATCACCTTCTCCCCGCCTACTACTCCCATTCCAGCGCGAATCCAGCAACCATGCAAAGAGAAACATGCATCTGATGCCATGCATCATGGAATACACAGCTCGATCTATCTCACACACACATCGATGAGATCGGTCCATCCATAAGCGCATATATATAACTACTACATGTAGCTAGCTACCTCACGATACACACACACACACACACACACACACACACTTATTTTATATATATATATATATATATATATATATATATATATATATATATATATATATATATATATATATATCATCACCTACATTCTTGAATCTTGAAGGGATTAATACCCCTCCCTCTACCACCTCCACCGGCCGAGAGCGAGCGGCCGGCCGGGCGGGCCGGGGTTTCGGTTCGGCATGGCTGCCCCGGCGCTCCGCGTGGCGATCCTCGCCGCGGTCCTGCTGCTCCCGTTCCTCAGCGTGCCGGGCGCCGAGGCGCAGACCAAGAAGTTCTGCCTCACGCAGTTCGCCATCGCCAGCCAGGCCTGCGCCATTCTGCCGCCCACCAGCCCCGAGCACCACCACCACAATCAACGACGACGACGACGAGGATGAGGACGAAGACGAAGACGAGGACGAGGACAACGACGACGACGGCGGCGGCGGCGGCGACCGCCGCCACCGTGACCAGGACAAGAAGAGCGCTAGCGGCGTCGTCAGTAAACCCGCCGCGTCCGCCAGTAAACCCGTCGCGTCCTCCATGATCACCGTCGAGGCGGAGGTGGACGCCTCTACCGATGACGACGACCGCAACGGCACCAGCCACTCCGTGGTGGGAGACGGAAACCACACCCGCAGCGGAGGCGGCGGCGGCAGTGGCAGCGCACGACGCCGCCACGGCTCCAGCAGCAGGCGCCGCCGCCGTGGCCGTCTGCGTGACGGAGACGACGCCGAGGGCGAGGACGAAGACGAAGACGAAGATGAGGACGCCGACGAGGATGAGGACGAGGACGAGGACGAGGACGACGATGACGACGACGACGACGACGACGACCACCGCGCGTACAGGGACTGCTGCCGGTGGCTGAAGGAGGTGGAGCCGGACTGCGTGTGCGAGGCGCTGCTCCGCCTGCCGCCCTTCCTCGTCAAGCCGCAGCACAAGTACACCGTTAAGGTGGGCCACTCCTGCAAGTTCACCTATAGGTGCGGCGGCGTCTGATGATGAGCTGAAGGCCGTGGTCGGGCACGCATATGCATGCATGGCGCGAGAGCGTACGTATAAGGCTAGCTTGTGCTAGTTCTCTTCTACGTACGTGCGAGCCGTGTCCATACATGCATACTCATATTATACAGTATATTACTGCGTGCTACGTGATCGACATTCGAAAAAGCGACGTTATTACCGGCCGGCCGTAAGTATATCCATCCATCTGTGTCAACCATCAAGTTTGTGTTTATCAGGTGAGAAAAAAAATCGTTTGGAAACCAATTAGAGATCGAGTTTGGCTTATATATATGTAAAACTGATGATCACTATATATAGATAGCCAAAAATTTGTAATAGTAATATTGTAGTATGTGTTATATATGTCGGTGTCTGTCGTGTGTCACTAGCTAGTAATTTGTTGTTGTTCCAAATGCTAAGAGATGATGATGTGTTAGATATGTGTATGTGTTTGACATTAGTCTCGACAAAAAGATCGTTGAGCTGGCTTGGTGGCTCGTTTTAAAATTACTCCGCTTCAATCATTTTTTTTTAAAAATAAATAAGTTGATTTTCGATAACTTTTGACTTTAGCTCGACTCATTAAGTTCGATTTGGAGAAAAATTCGTGGCCGGTCCCTCAACTTGACACGAGGTGTCATCTAGGTCCCTATACTTTGAAAATGCTATTACTGGGTCCATGAACTTGGCTTCTAGGTCCAAGGTCGTTGAGCTGGTTTGGTGGCTCGGGTCTTGAAAAAATAAAAATCGCTTTCAATGACTATTGACTTTAGCTCGACTCATTAAGTTTGATTTGAACGCATCTCAAACAATTGCACATTGAAGTCAACAAAAAAAACTGACATGTGGGCTCCAACAGCCCGTTGTGTTAGGTCCACAGATCACTTAATTCAACCTCTCCTCACGATTTCTTCTTTCTTTAGCTTCACACAAATGCCCCAATGCAAAAACCACTCTCTTCGATAGTCCGACTCTCCTCCCTATATATATACCAAGCCCCAAGCCTGGGTACATCCGCGTCGTCGTCGAGCATCGTCTCACACATGCATGGAATTTTTTGTTGGTTGGAGTCCGCATCCCTCCTCCGCATCCGCTCCAAGTCTCAATATGGATATTTTTTTTTATCCTGCATGTCAATGTACGGCGGCATCATCACCGGAGTGTATGTGTTTGACATTGGTCTCGACAAAAAGGTCGTTGAGCTGGCTTGGTGGCTCGTTTTAAAATTACTCCGCTTCAATCCTTTTTTTTGAAAAAAATAAATAAATTGGTTTTCAATGACTTTCGACTTTAGCTCGACTCATTAAGTTCGATTTGAAGTGCATCTCAAACAATTCAAGAGACTATAACTTATAATTATGTCAACAATTTCCCAAAAAAAACTCAAAAAAAGTGTTGCTGGCTCAAACAACGAGCCCGTTGCATTCCAACCAAGTACAGATCAAGAAAAACCATGATCATGGTACACAAGGATTTGCGTGACTTGTTATCTAATTTAGCTTCACACAAATGCCCCAATGCAAAAACCACTCTCTTCGATAGAACATATAATCCATTTAATGTGTGTATATATATATATATACCACCAATAGCTGCTCCGCGTAACATTATTAGGAAAAAAATTATATTACATGAAAATAACTTTATCCATGAATATACTAACACCTATCTTACAAACTTTAAGTATATCTATATATTTTTTGCAGTACAAAGACCATACAAAATTGAAACAATATAATATCATAAAATACGAAATCACTTTGATCATGAATATGTCAGCATCAATCTTATATATATGGAGTACAGCATTAATCCGCCTACCATTTTGGAGTACAAAACAACCGTGCATGTATCCACCGACACACGCATGAGTGTGTGACCGTTTCAATCGCGTACTAGCTACGTAATAAATTGCTGAAAGCACTAATATTTGCCTAAGTCATCATGTGCACCATAAAAAAAAACCCTGGGTGGATACAGTCATATACTCTCCCGACACCTTGGCCACCTATTTTGTCCATAAATAGCTGAAAAAGTTTTATCAACAGAAATCCTAAAATAATCTATCTTTCAGATAGGAGTACGAGTACCGAAGCAAGATTATATCCAGCCTTCACTCCAAAAATGTGCCTCCGTTTTACTCTAGGTTCCACATGTTTTACTCTTTTAAAAAAAAAAAAAAACACAGTAGCGATATAGATGCTCGCAACTCGCATGATCATACATGTACCACCCATTAATCATCTTACTCAAGCAATATTAGATGGACATTATATATAGTTTTTTTTTGTCTCATGCCCAAGTCAAATAGACATGTATTTGAATCGCAAGGAGCATTTTATAGACATGTTGAAAGTGATAGTCAAAGTTTTTAGCTTTTTTTTATGTTTATTATTATAGTCTATGAGAGCGCACTTTTTATTTATCCGGTACGGCAATGGACAATAATAAACACATCATCCGCGTGTCTGATGCGGGGCCCACCCGCCAGTCTCTAGTCTCCACCGCCCGCCAGCCAGAGGCGACCGGATCACGCGCGTCACGTCTGTCGGTGCTGGGCGCTCCCCGCCGGGGACGGACACGGACGGTAGGTGGAAGCGGAAGCAAGGCGCAGCGAGGCGTGCGAGCAAGCGAAGCGAAAGCCTACCCCCTCCCTGTTTCCTCCCGTGCTCGCCTGTACCCGGGAAAAGGGGCAACGAGAAATCGAACCCACACGGCACACGCAACGCGAGTACGCGACGCCTCCACCTCCACCCGCTCGCCTGTGTCCAGATCCAGCCGCCCGCATCTCTCTCTCTCGCTCGCTCGCGCGCGCGCGATGAGCTGCCGCGGCGGGTGGGCGTGCTAGCGGTAGCAGCGAGCGGTCCACCTCCACCCGCTCGCCTGTGTCCAGATCCAGCCGCCCGCATCTCTCTCTCTCTCGCTCGCTCGCTCGCGCGCGATGAGCTGCCGCGGCGGGCGGGCGTGCTAGCGGTAGCAGCGAGCGGTGCGCGAGGCCGGAGGAGGCGGAGGCGGAGGCGGAGGCGGGTGGGCGGATCCGGGGGGCGGCCAATCTGGCAGGCGCCGCGGTGGGGCTGCGGGCGCGGGGGAGGGCGGGGGGCTGGGCGGACGGCGCGGAGGGCGGGGAGGGAGGGGAGGACTGCGGCAGGCTCAGGCCCTGGCGCAGGAGGCTGCTCGCGTCCATGGCGCTCTCGTGGCCCTCGGCCGTCCGCCTCGCCGTAGCCGCCGTCCTGCTCGTCGCCGTCGGCGTCGCGCTCTTCACGCTCCCCGTCGAGAAGGTTCGGGTTTCTCCAATCTCCACCCCGCTATCAAAATTGGGCCCGTTCGCGATTCCATGTTGGGAGGATGAGTGTGGTTAGGCATGGAAACAGTCGTCCTGGTTGTTGAAATGTAGGTTCGTTTGCTCTCGTGATTGGTTCAGCTCCCCCTCCCTCCCCTCGGTACCCAAATCTGCCATGGTTATACTTCGTGTTGCTATCTATATGGCCGGAAATTCCTGTTCGAGTGGAGCTAATGATGGGCCGTGTCAAATGTGCATTCGAATGTTTCAGTCATCAGAAATGTAGTATTGTTTTGGGTAGACTGGGTCAATGCGTTATGACATGACATGGTTGTAAGTAACACATATCATGAATACATGTATTCCCAAATTGAAAGACTTTTCCTGTCTAGCAGGAAACTTCCAAAGGGTACTCTATTGCTTCTCACATCCACTGTTGCGTGCCATAGTAGGTCAGGATGCATGAATCAGGGGGATTAGTTGTTGGAATCATTTTTGTCACCTGATCATTCTAGTGCTTAATTTGTCATCCGTTCATGCCTTGTTCAATTATGGATATATCCTTGTGGTATTATCTAGTTCTGTCTTTAGTAGCTGTTATACCCTGTTATGGTATTCTGTTAGGATATATACTGCTTTCCGTTTTAATTTGCCTCAAGATGGTCATAACTTAATACCTGAAGTTTACCTTTCTCAGCTGTCCAGCTCACGGCATTACCTGCTCTGCTTTTTTTCATCTTGATTGAGAGAATTTTTGTCAATTAGTTTTATTCTTTTTACCTAGTTTACATCATAATGCTGTGGAAGGGCGGGCCTGGTGCAAGCGGTAGAGTCTTACCACCTGTGACCGGAAGGTCCCGGGTTCGAGTCGCGGTCTCCTCGCATTGCACAGGCGAGGGTAAGGCTTGCCACTGACACCCTTCCCCAGACCCCGCACAGAGCGGGAGCTCTCTGCACTGGGTACGCCCTACATCATAATGCTGTGATATTTTAATTTACTAGGATAATCCAGAGTTTGAGAAGTTCTTACTTCCCTTCTCCTCGCTTTCTTGTTGCCTATAAATCTTAAGATTATGGAGCTTAAAATGTAGATTAATTTAACCTCCGCATCAGGTACTTATTGGTTTAAGTTTACATTGACAGATTTTAAAGGACTTTCTGGTTTGGATCAAGGAGAACTTGGGTCCATGGGGTCCTTTGGTGTTGTAAGTATTAAACTCTCTGCACATAAGTGGTAGTTTCTCACTTGCAGCCACACTTTTGGAGCACACTTACTGCTATACTCCACTACACAGCTTTTCATAGAAAACATATGTCCTGCCCCTTAAATAAAACCCAAACCCACCTGCAAGATATATGTAAGCCTTGCTTTGTTATGCCTGGTACTCGTATTTGGTTTGCACTTGCAGTGACATGCCATAAAGCTGTGTAGTGGAGTATCGTTGATTCGTTGTTCTATATTATGTTATATGACCTTACCATCTTTTTCATTTCCAACTTAATTATATTCATGTTGTGTAATATTACAGGGCCCTCGCTTACATCCCTCTGACAGTCTTAGCTGTTCCAGCATCAATTCTTACAGTACGTTAGATTGCTATTTCCCCTTTTTACAAGCCTTGCCCTTTTCCTCTTTTAAGAGCCCTCGTGTTAGATCACCTTTTTATGTTGCTGCAATTCTTTTACCAGCTTGGAGGGGGCTATTTATTTGGAT